CACACTTTATTGTCCACAGCTGGGTACCTCAGTACTACTCGCTGCTGCAACGCAAAACCTCACTCTCACTTTCAGTCCCGCTCTCACTACTCACTCAACTACACTACTCAGTCCACTCACTCACTGTGCATTATCAACTTGATCGGCTTCGACAATCCAGCCTGGCCAGGAGTTGCTGCCTGTGAGCTTGAATCAAATCAGACAAAATAGGAAAAAAGTACAGGTCTCATCACCCACTGACGACAACGCGTCTAGCGCACACCCATATCCTTCCTTCCACACCTCTTTTCCTACCTTATGTGTCTGCCTTACCTCACACCTCACCTCAACTACGGTGCTCTCTTCCTCTTCCTCTCTCCCTCTCTCACCTTAGCCTTGCCTTACATTACCTACCTACATTTCCTGACCTCGCCCGATTTACGCACACACGTACACGCACATTACACCTACGCCCGGCCTGGACCACTTGGACCTAGACCCCAACCTGGACCTGGACCTTTGACTTGCACCGGCACCTGCAACCTCTCCTGCGTCCCTCCGCCTTCGTCTATTCGTACCTACCCCGTACCGACTCCGTACTTGCTTCGCCCTGTCTCTCTCTGGGCTCTGCCTTTGCCTCACCTCACCTTACTCACCTTCCTATTGCTTACCTGGTACCGGTGCACATACCTCGCATTTTCCCCCTTCTACCTTACTCGACCCCCAGACTCTCTTCTCCAGACCAAACTCCTCTCCTCGCCTTCTCTTGCCCGACCGACAATTATCGACAACGAGGTTTCAACGTGTCGTTGTCGCGCCTACGGTTCTGGTCGGAAACGTCGCTCGCTTTCATTCGTTTTCTGTCTTCGAAAAAATCCCACCAACGCACAGCTCGCTCGTGTCTTACCGACTCCCGCCATCCCCTCTCTAGCTCCACATCGTCGTTGCCCGCCGCCCTCTGTCCCCGGTCAACGCTGCCCGAATACACCTGGGTCATTTCACCTACACGGACGCTCTTCGTCACCTCACTCGCTCGCCCCTGTTCTCGTTCCTGCTCACACCTGAGCCGGAACTTCTTCATGACATCAACAGCAGGGCTTTTGCAATACAAGACAAGGAGGACTTCCAGAGACGGTCTCTAGGAGCGCTTCACTCGACAAAGGAATATTTGCGCGCCAAAAGTAGCCCACGGCCAATCACCGCCTGCGCGTCGCATCTCATCCTAGCGCATGCTCACACCCAATACCTTTCAAGCGACTCGATCCTGTGCCAAAACACCGCCAGGCGACCAAGAGACCAACCGATTGACCTACAGATCGAGGACCGACTGCACCGAATCTGTCTCCAACATCCAATTTTCTTTGACAGTCGCTCGTCAAATCCCGGTCGCTTGACACACTTTGTTCATTCTCGATTCCCACGACAACCAAAGGACGCTGGCTGCGATAAAGTAATCGAGCTCCGACCACCTGCGCTCCGTCATTGCGATGACGTCCGCCGCTCCTCCCCCCAACCAGGCTTTTCAGCCCACGAGCAACTCGACCGCGCCCGCTGCGCCCTCGACTCCGAACAAGAGAGACTTGAAATCGTGGTGGAAAGGATTCAAGCTTCCCTCGAAGCATCAGGAACATCACGGTAGAGCCCCTTCTACTTTCGCATCGCAACAACAGCCCTCAACTCCTACCCAACCCCTCTTCAGTGAAGATGTCGACGAGGCAATCGATACCTCAGCTGCACCTCTCAGTCTTGTCTTGCTGTTGCAGGATGCCCATCCTGTTGGGTCCTGCGATCACCTTTTGCCTCAAGTCTGCGCTTCGAGTGATGCGACAGCCTCCAATACCTTGAACCTGACTGGCCGGCTCAACAGGCTGTCCCTGTCCATCATCGTGCCTGTGCGCCAGTGTGTCAAGCACATCCGCGCGGCTGTGAAAACGTCCTCTACTTCATGTGCTAAAGGTTCTACAGCAGACAACCGACCTCACGGGATTTTCGGCGTTCCTCTCCGTCAGAGCATCACCTATGCCAATGTCGCGATATCTCTCGTCGACGAAAACGGAAAGAGCTATATTTATGGCTACGTACCGATTGTTGTCGCGAAGTGCGGCGTCTTCTTGAAGGAAAAGGGTAAGTGTACGCGAACCACGGTCCGTCTCCAACGTGCTCACATACCGTCTTCTTAGCAACAACGGTGGAGGGTATTTTCCGTCTGAGTGGCTCCGAGAAACGAATCAAGGAGCTGAAGCAGATTTTCGACTCCCCCGATCGCTACGGAAAGGGCCTGGTTTGGGACAATTACACGGTTCACGATGCTGCCAACGTGCTCCGGCGATACCTCAACGACCTTCCTGAACCTGTTGTGCCGCTAGATCTATACGAGAAGTTCAGGGAACCGCTGCGAGGCGCTACGAGGCAAGCCGTAGGCGATGCCGAAGGCCCGCAGTTTGTCGAAAACTTTGATGATCAAGCGGCTATCGTCAAGTACCAGAAGCTCATCACGGAACTTCCACCGCTGAATCGCCAGCTTCTGCTATACATCCTGGATTTGCTCGCTGTCTTCGCCGCCAAGTCGGAAGAGAACAGGATGAATTCACAGAATCTAGCAGCCATTTTCCAACCTGGTATGCTGTCGCACCCGCAGCACGCCATGGCGCCTGAAGAGTATCGCTTGAACCAATGCGTGCTCATTTTCCTCATCGAAAACCAGGATCACTTCTTGATTGGCATGCAGGGCACGGCCACTGACGAGAAGACAAAGCAGCTGATCGAAAAAGGCACGCCCCCTGCAGCGGGTGGGCCAGTGACTCCTAACCCTAACAGGAAGTCGGGTCTGGGCCGATCTGCGTCCAATGCGAGTGCCGGCGCCGACAGTGTAAGAAGAGACGGAATGCTCAGAAGAAACCGATCGACATCTTCAAGGCACTCGCACCATGAAGGTTCTACGACTCCGAACAGCCCGGCACTCGCCCCGACCCCGAACAGCGGCCTTGGCAGAAGCAACACAGTCCCGTCCAAGAAGTCCCCTGCTCTTCAGACAGGAAGGTTCAGACGTGATGCTTCACCCATTCCAGGCTCGTCACCCCGCGAGCCTATGATCCCGACGACGACGGAAGAGCTTGTCGAAGCACCTGATCAGTCCCCTGCTGCGTCGAGCATTTCGCCCGCGCCTGCTGCGATAGGCACATCTAGCCTGGCACCCACCGCTGCTGGTAACGCAGGCAGAAGCCAGGAGAGGCTGCTTGACCCGAACGAGGCTACGACACCCATCAAGGAAAGAGTCCTTCCCAGCATATTCCAAAGATCCCCCACGGGAGAGGGCGAGAAACGACAACCGAACAAACTGAAGAAGAAGCGAATTCCTGGGAGCTTGAACCCGAGCGCGCAAAGCTCGGCCGCATCCTTGTCCGGTACGCACTCAGCCGCTGTGTCCCCTAGTTTTGAGGCCCCCAACCCCATGGATCTGGTGGCCGATACAATCCCAGAGCACGATTCCCTCGCGATTGGCCAGCAGCCTGGTGCAGTTGATACACCCTCGGAACCCACCCCGCGCGCATCACAGGTCCCCTCTAGCAACACCTTACATCCCGAGCAGACGCTCAAGGCCAAGAAGTCGCCGCCAACATCACTTCACTCATCATTTAACGAAGGTTCTGACGTTGATCAGACTGAAGAGTCCATTGTGACGACTTCGGCAGACGCCAGCGAGCCGGATAAGGAAAAAAAGAGAAGATGGCGACTTTCGCGACAGAGGGGCCACGAACACCACCCTTCAATCACCTCTCCGCGTCTGGCTTTCGGATCCAACGATAATGCCGACGTTAGCGTGACCTCGATTGGCAGTGGCGGATATAGGCCCCGGAAGAGCTTTACCGGCGAAAGTTCAGAAACTGGCATGTACACTGCCGAGGCACAAACCAGTCATGAATCGCGGGACAAGGACGGCAAGGACGAATCCAAGGGGCCCATCGGTTGGATTAGGAATAAATACCGTGAAGCCAAGGAGAGCGCCGAGCGACGGAATAAATCCCCCCCAGCAGACCGACAATCTTCTTTGGGAGGCTCCAGCATCATGTCAGGAAGGGGAAAGAGTCTGGATATTCGCAGGGAACCCGAGGAAAGGGCACAGAACCCACCTGTACCACCGTTGCCGCAGCAAGCAGCCCCGACTCAGACCGCGGCGCCTCAGCCGGCAGCGACGCAAACCGCAACGTCTCCATCTTCGCCGCCCCAGCCGACACCAGCACCAACGCAGCAGACATCATCTTCAACGGTTACGAGTCCAGCATCGGCGCCTCCCGCATCTACCGTAGCAAACCCACCAGCACCGGCTCAACCGGCAAAGTCTCAGTTGGCAGCAGCCTCTCAGCCGGAGATCGCACCGCCAACGCAGCCAGCACCTGAAGTAGCGCGGTAACACCAACAATGATTCGAGCTCGAAGTATACCCATTTGAGGTGTTTTGTTTATCAAGAGCACGTCGTTTTGTGGAATACACCATTTTACTCATGGTTGGACATGATGCATCAAGGGTTTTCGAGGGGGAAAAGGGGGCCAGCCTAGACGAGGCCAACCCCAAAGTTCCAAGAATCCACGTTTGAACGTTTGAAAAGAAAAAGGAGGCATGTGCATGCTTGTTGGTGAATCATCATAAATGTATGGAGTTGTTCGATTCTCTGGCTTGGTGTACAGCGACGCATTGCCTACGGGCTCGCTCGCTATGAAGGGTATCCTGTCAAGTTGGCGTTTTTTTTTTGTTTTGTTATGAGTGTAGTAGCCCCGGCCACTCCTGTCCCTCTAACGTTTCCTGGGATTTGGTTATATGTGTTCACGGGCCCAGGATAGGGTAGGAAAAGAAAGATTTTTTTCTTTATATTTGCGACGATGCTCTTGGTTTTGTGATGTCTTGGGGAAAAGGGTAATGTGAGAATGGAACTTGTTGACGTTTTTTTACTTTTTACCTTTTGACTCTTTACTCTTATTCTTACACTAACTATTACTAATGTTGTTTGACTTTTTCTTTATATTTTAGGATACAGTAGTATACAGCCCCGTATCCCAAACGACGAGCTTCCCGCGCCGACGGGCGTCCTCGTTGAAGAAGCCATTCCAACCTGACCAGACGCGTTTCGGGCTCACGCCGAGGTGGCGGCCTGCGCCGTGGGGGGAGGTGAAGAAGTCGTGGAGCCAGGGTTCGATGCCTTCGAAGCCGATGATGTAGCGGGGGATTTCTTCTGCTTCTGCTTCTGCTTCTGCTTCTTCTGGTGGTGGTGGTGGTGGTACTGATGCAGTTGGTGCTGCGGACTCGGAGTCGGAATCGGAAGAATCCGAGTCGGAGCTGGACCTGGACCTGGACCTGGACCTGGACGCGGCTGCCGGCCACAGCTCCGTCGCCATGAAGCGCTGGGGATCGTCGTAGAAGCGGTCCGCCTCGTCGCGGTAGGCTTCGCGTTCGAGGGTGTCTGGTTGGGTGTGGAGGGGCGGTTCGCAGGTGAGGGCGCGGGCGCGGAGGGACGGGTGGAGGAGGTGGGAGCGCCAGGGGGTGGAGTGGCATGGTGTTAGGAAGAGGGCGAAGAGTTCTTTGCCTCTGTCTTCCTCTGCTGTCGATGTTGATGATGTTGTTGCTAATGATGACGACGAGGAGGAAGCAGAAGAGGAGGAGGAGGATGAAGAAGAGAAAGAGGAGGACATCGACGCCAAAGCCAGGGACGCGATCGGGGCCGCTGTAGCCGCCTGCTCCGGGTGTATGCGGGCGTACGAGGTCCGGAGGAAGGTCAGGACCGTCAGGGGCGCGGGCTGGTGGAGGAGGGTGAGGAAGAAGGCGATTGCGGCGTGGAGGCCCAGGGCGGAGGCGAGGAGGCGCTTGCGGCGGAGGCGGGGCTTCGGGAGCGGAGAGCGGGGGGAGGGTGGCGGGGCCGGGATGGTGAAGAAGGATGCTAGGGGTGCGGCGGCGAGGATGTGGAGGGTTGGGAGGAGTGGGTAGATGAAGCGGACTTCTTTGTGGGAGACAGTGGAGAGGGCGGCGAGTGTGATGTAGACTGTCCAGGTGAGGGTTTTGAGGGTCGCTTTGCTGGGAATTTTCGAGCGTGGTCCAACTGTCGGTTGCGGGGGGTTGTAGAGGGATACGAGGACGAAGGGGAGATAGGTCATTGAGAGGAGGGGGAGGCCCTGGGAGAGGTAGTAGTGCCAGTCGTTGCGGCCGTAGAGGACGGCGAGGGATTGGGAGAGGTTGAAGTAGAGGAATTTGTAGGGGGGGAAGGCCCATTCGCCAAAGTAGAGGCGGTCTGAGGTTAGGGAGAGGGAGAGGACGAGGGTGCCGCAAAGGAGGGCTTCGCGGAGGAGGAGGAGGATGGTTTGCGGGGTGAGGACGGAGGAGGGGCCGGGGCCGGAACCGGAGCCAGAACCGGAGGTGGAGGTGGAGATTGAGTTGGAGCGGGAGAGGAAGGGCCGGAGGAGGGTTGCGAGGGCGACTGGTATCCAAATGAGGACGTTTGTTGGGCGGAGGAGGACTGCTGTTGCGGCGAGGATGAGGGATAGGCGGAGACTGTTGGCGTGTAAGTCAGTGCGTTTCTCTGGTCCCGGGTCGGCTGGTGTCAAATGCGAGAGACGGAAACATACCTAGTGAGAGTCCCGGGCGTGTGTAGGATGGAATTTGCGGGCTTGGGGTTCTCTTTTTCTATCTTTGCATCACCGAGGAGCTCCCAGGGCCAGTAGTTGAGGGCCATGATGGTGAGCGTGGTCTCGAGCGAGTTAGAAAAGGTCCTGGTGGAGCAGTACCATTGGAAAGGACTGAACATGCTCATGAATAGCTATAATGACATTGCGTCAGCCATCATTTTACTTAAATACGTCAAGAAGGTATAGCAAGTTATGGTAGCTACTGATGCTGATTGGTAGTGGTGGTGATGGTGACAGTGACTTACAGCGAACCATGAGACGGAGCTATCGGCGCCGTAAATCTTGACGGCCAGCTGCCAGGTGTACCAGTCGCCGGCCGCGGCAAAGACGGCCTGTGCGGCTTTTGGAGCGGCGAGTAGGAGCCATGGCCTGATGATGGGGAGTGGGCGGGCGACGAGGTCTGCGAGGGTGTAGACGCCGGCGAAGAGGGCGGGATGCAGCGAGGAGCGGAGCTGGTTTCTCCATTCCTGGGGTTTGTGTTAGTTGCACGTGGGAATTCAATGAAGCTTGTGAATAGTCATCATCAAAATGAGATAATTTAAAAAAAAAAAAAAAAAAAAAAAAAAAAAAGGTATGAAAATTTATCAACAGAGACTGAATAAACTCACCCAGGTGATCCAGGCGCCGCTCCCTTCGCCAAAGGCCATGCGCCAGGCGGGTTCGAGGGCCTGAAAGTACTCGTCAGGCTGGAAAAAGGTGAGGACCCACCAGGCGTTGAGGAGACGGATGATGAGGAGGGACCGGAAGACGGAGGGCTTGTTGTGCTCGTTACGAACTGCCATTAGGAGTTCGGGGGCGGGCGGGGAGCCGACGGAAGCCATTGTGGATACGGGTGGAGTGAGAAATTTGTGGCCGGCGGCGGCGGCGGCAGTCAGAGCGGGGTGGGGGGACGGAAGGGACTTATTGCGTAATCATCGGTCGGACGGACGGTTGGGTGGTTGCGGTGAGCAGTTTGTGGGAGGGGGGAATGACCCTTTTTGCAGGAGCGGCCGCGGCGGCGTGGGAAACGAACCGGTTCGGTCAATCAACGGGGAGCCCGATGGATTTGAAGCGATGAAAGCGAGTCAGGATGTGTTGATGGTGGTGCCGCGTGTGTGTGCCGGTTGTTCGAGTGTATGTGTGTCAATTTCAATAGCCTTTTTTTTTCTTTTTCCTTTTCCGTCGTTCTTCGCTCTTCTCCTTTTTCTCGCGCTTTGCCGTGTGGCCGTCAGCTGGTAGGGGGGAAAGAAAGGAGTGTGTGGGCTTTGATGGGAAAAGTTGATGCCGAAAAGCGGTCTTCTCGATCGCTAATGGAATGTCGAGACGGGAGGACCAGGGATGTTGCGGGCTTACGGCAGGGCCGTGGACGGACGCAGAGGCGCTAAGTTTCATTGACAGGCCACCGTGCTCAGGCAATTGGTCACTAAAGAAGCAGTCGCCGAAAAGCCTGAGGAACCTACCTGAGGTGGTGAAGTACCTAAGCACCTAAGGTATGGTGATGAGGACGCAAGACCACATCTAGCCTTGTTGCCTTGATCTTCAGGTAAATCGAACGTTTACTCTCAGGCAGGAGTTTATTGGTATCCATTTATCTGGCAAGAGAACAGATATCCATTGGATACCACGAGGTCTCCATATAAATGGACGGCCCTATTGGATCCGAGCAACGGGAATGGAAATAGCGACTTTGTCATTGGACCACGGGGCCCTTTCCTCTGCCGTCCGCATCGGCCCCAATGGCAGGCACTTGCTGTAAGGTAAGGTATTTTCTCCACGCACCACGTTCCATGGTCCGCTCGGTTTATCTACATGTAATTCCCTATCTTATTCGACTCAGTCCAATGGTACGTCGTTGAATATAGTAGGTACGTACGTGTATGCGATTTCTCGAGTTGTCGACAAATGATTACACTGTTGGCCGTCTGCAACGCAAAAGAAAATATGATAGCGTAGATAGGCTTGCTGTGCCTCTCCAACGCCGCAAGCACAGATGCCCGTTATCGGCCTCGCTGCATTTCTCATTCCTCATTCCAGGTCCTTGCAGTTGTTGTCTCTCCCCCGCCGCATTGGCAAGAGGCTCTCATTTTGGTTGCTGCCTCTGACGGGATTGGTGGTTTCCTCCTTATGAAAGTCGACTTTCCATCATCAACAACACCCGGCAGTCATCTCCCCCCCCTTCCCCCAGCCTACGGCAACACCAAGCAACCGCATCCTGTTCCCTATTCCATTACGAGATTCTTACCCCAGAGAAAAGCACCAAAGAAACCACCGGTGACCGAACGCACTGCTTTTCCTACGTCCGCGCCACCCCTCCCCTCTCTCCCCCGGGGCCATGTGACTGAATTGGCACCGGGATGGTTTCCCTTACATGGCCCCCTCGGGCGTCATCCTGCCCACTCACCCACTTGAGCCGCTTATACCTGCGCTTAGGGGAACATACCTGCACTTAAAGGCATAGTGGCGCGCCTTTTGACTCCGACACCAAGAGTTTGGTTCCAGGTCAAGGTCCAGCCGTTTTTTTTGGTTTTTTTTTTCATCTCATTACATGCTAGAGTACATGCGTACCTCAGCAATTACTAGTTTTTCAACCCACAAACTGGCCAGAACCCGTCATGCCCGTCTCATCTGCTTTGTCTTGCTTGCACCAGCCCGGCAGGGTCATGTACTTCCTACTCGTATCGTCCGCCTCCGGCCATGTTTGGACCCTGTCCACGTTGCCGCCGCCGCCGCCGCTTTCCCACGACTACCTGGTTTCCTGCTTTTCTGCTTCCGTATCGCGCTTGAGTCCTTTTAGTCAAGGATGACCGGACTTTCTTCCAGGGGGGGTATAATTACCCAAGACCCCGCGATTTGCCCCTCGTTCCCGTCTTCTTCTCTTGACGCTCTCTTTCTCTCAACTCTCCATCTCCTTGCCCACGAACTCTACTTGAACGGCCACTTGTCCTGAGTCGCAAACACTCTCTGACAACAATTGAACATTCCCTGGAGCCAATTGATCATTTTTCAATTACCCATTTCACTCATCTCACCCACATTGTTTTCTCTCTCTCTCTCTCTCTCTCTCTCTCTCTCTCTCAACAAGCCCATCCAACGTAAATCAGACAACATGGCCCCCCACGCAAACGGCGGCACCCCTCAGTCCAATGGCGGAGTGGAGTCGAGATACCACGCTTCTTCCACCCAGGCCGCGATCAAGTCCGAGGAGGAGCTTGCTGCCCACAACTACCACCCGCTCCCCGTCGTCTTCTCCAAAGCCAGCGGCGTCCACGTCTGGGATCCCGAGGGCAAGCAGTACCTCGATTTTCTCTCCGCCTACAGCGCCGTCAACCAAGGCCACTGCCACCCCGAGCTGGTCAAGGCCTTGACTGAGCAGGCCAGCAGACTTACTCTCAGCTCGAGAGCATTCTACAACGATGTCTTCCCCAAGTGGGCCGAGAAGATCCAGCAGGTCTTTGGTTATGACATGGTTTTACCCATGAACACGGGCGCCGAGGCCGTCGAGACCGCCATCAAGATTGCTCGCAAGTGGGCGTACAAGGTCAAGGGCGTTGAGCAGGGCAAGGCTCTGGTCTTCTCCGTCAACGACAACTTCCACGGCCGAACTGTGAGTACTTTCTCAAGATCCTGCGGCTGACAACTGCGTTTTTTTCCCGGACCGAGGCTGACATGAAAACCTCTCAGATGACTGCCATCTCTCTTTCAGTCGACCCCGAATCCAGGGACAACTACGGCCCCTATGTCCCCAACATTGGCGCCCTGAACCCTTCCACGGGCAAGGCCATTCGCTACAACAACGTCGAGGATATCGAGGCAGTGTTCGAGGCGCACGGCAAGGACACTGCTGCCATCATCATCGAGCCAATCCAGGGCGAGGCTGGTGTCGTGGTCCCCGACGACGACTACCTGAAGAGAGTGAATGATCTTTGCAAGAAGCACAACGTTCTTTTCATCTGCGACGAGATCCAGACTGGTATCGGCCGCACTGGACGCATGTTGTGCTCACAGTGGGCCGGCATCAAGCCTGACATGATCACCCTGGGCAAGGCTATCTCTGGTGGTCTCTACCCCGTCAGCTGCGTTCTGTCGAGCAAGGAGATTATGCTGGTCGTTGAGCCCGGCACGCACGGTTCCACCTACGGCGGTAACCCCCTTGGATGCGCCGTGTCCATCCGCGCGTTGGAGATCATGGAGGAGGAAGACTTGACTGCCAAGGCTGAGAAGCTTGGAAACATCTTCCGTGAGGGCATCAGAGCCTTCAACTCGCCCATTGTCGAGCTGGTGCGTGGAAAGGGTCTCCTCAACGCCGTCGTCATTAACGAGTCGGCTACGGCTGGCCGCACGGCCTGGGACCTGTGCCTGTTGTTGAAGGAGAAGGGTCTGTTGGTAAGTTTCTCAAGACCCCAGATATAACCACACACGGCACACGACTGACTCTTCTGCTTTTCACAGGCCAAGCCTACACACGGCAACATCATCCGCTTCGCTCCTCCTCTGGTCATCACCGAGACCGAGCTTCGCAAGGCCATCAACATCATTGGCGAGGCGCTCAAGGAGCTCCCGACTGTCGAGAAGGCGGCGCACCACTAAGTAAATGTAGAGCTCACTTGAGATAGTAGTGATGACGGACAGATACGCTCTCCAACGGGGTGTACTTGTCGATGATCGTCGAGCGGCTGGTGTCCTGTCACACCACACAAAAGTGTGGGGTACGGTTGGTAAAGTCGGGATCCAATGATGGACTCTGACGAATAGCCTTAATGACGCAGCAGTTGGCGGCTTGGTATGGATATCTAGTTGGGGTCGTCAAAGAGCATCGCTTCCTCGGAGGCGCATGTGATTTGTCTGCCCTCGAAAGAGGGAGAAAAAAGGAGGCAGCTACAAGGTTGCGGTGCGGGGGGTCCGGCCGGGGTGGTCTCACGGCAGGGTCAGGTCATACTTGCCCTTGCCCAGGACAGGCAGCATTGGGATCCCTTTTTTTTTTTATTCATCACACACGGGGTAACGGAGCATGGAGCATACGGAGCATAGGCCATCGGCGCGGGGGAAGCAGAGGGCGTACTGTGCAAAAGCATTCGCCGCTCCCCATGTTACTTCTTTAGATGTGCATACCCAACGGCGCTGTGGCTGGTCCCCCCGACTTTTATAGGGGGACTGCTTCATGGATTCCATTCAGTTAGAGATTAGAGCGAGCGAGAAAAAAAAAGACAATTGTTGAAAAGGAAAATTGTTACAAAGTAAACGGGATGTACCATGGGAGGTCACACCACGCATCACCGATACCACCGGCGATGCCCGTTCCTGTGAGACTGGACATGAGTGGCCCAGATGCTGGAGCTGGAGCTGGAGCTGTACGAATCTGGTAAGCTGCATTCTGCATGCATGACTTCTCGGCAGGCAGATGGCTAGAGGTAGGTAAGGTAAACAGTCGGGCAGAAAGCTCCCAAGGTGGTGTAGGACACGTCGAGCCGCATCCAAGCTCTTCCCACCCTCTCTCTCTCTCTCTCTCTCTCTCTCTACCGTCATATCTCTCTTACATGTTTCTGTTCACGTGCTGATACACTTGATGTTGTTGCAGTGACTCAGACCAGGCGGGCGGGCGCGTCGGGCGGTCGGGCGGTCGACTTTGAGCTTCTCCCACGTATCGTTCTGGCAGCCTGAGCTATGTGGATTTTTGAAAGATGTTGGGTGGGGTGGGGTGGGGTGGGGGATGGGGTGAGATGAGGAGCGTAAAAAGGGGGAGGAAATTGAAGATGGTGATGGTGGTAATGATTGATTTGCATCTTTACACATTTCACGTGGCACCTTTTCTAATCCAGATGAAAGGGGGGGGGGGGTCTTTCTT